AAATTATACAGGTTTCAGGTGCACAATTCTACAACACATCATCTGTACACTGTATTGTGTGTTCACCACCCCAATTCAAGCCTCCTTCCATCCCCACTTATCCCCATACCTCCTCCAGCTCCCTTTACCTCCCCCGCCCTCCCCCTTTAAGTATCCTTTGAAAGAGAGATTTGGAGGTCTAAACTTTGAGGTATCTGTTTTGAAATTATCTAACAGTAGGCAAGCCTCAGTATGTTCTTTCTTAAGACCTATGCTTATTTCATCCAGACATAAAACTTGTGTGGCCCCCCATAGCAATTTGTATTAGGGAATTATGGAGAAAAAGACATAAATTAGCCCTGCCCTGTGTGGCTCAGTGTCAGCCCTCGCAGTGAAGGGTCAAGGGTTGGATTCCCAGTCAAGGGCTGGATTCCCAGTCAAGGGCAAGTATGTGGGTTGTGAGTTCGCTCCCTGCCTCTAGTTGGGGCACGTGCAAGAGGCAACCAGTGGATGTGTCTGTCTCACTTCAATGTTTCTTTCTGTCTCTCCCCCCCTCCCTCCCTTCCAATCTCTCTGACAAGCAATGGAAAAAATATCATCAGGTGAAGATTAACAACAACAACAAAAAGATATAAATTAAAGCATGTAATTTCATTTTACGAAATGAAATTACAAAATTTATTATTTTTTTTATGATAAAAAGTAAGATATAGTAATTGTAGAAACTTTGGAAATACAGGTATTTTGAAGAAGACATTTTAAATCACTCCTAGATATAATCTATGTTAATCATTTGTTACATTTTTTCCCAGTATTTTTTTGTGCATACAAAATTAAAATCTCATGGAACATATAGTTTTACATCTTATGTTTCAAACTAATGTTACATTGTCTTTTCTTTCCTGTGTCATTAAATGTCTTTTTACAACATGATTCACACTGTTGGATAAGTAATGAATCCAAGCAACCCAGTGTTGTTGAGTACTTTAGTTCTAGTTTTTTACTGTTAGGCTGCTATAAATCTAAATCTTTCCATAGGATATATTCTTGGAAATTAAATTACTGAGTAAAAGGATATGACTTTTAATGCTTTGGCTACATGTCATCAAAGTGAGTTCCTAGAAAGGCTTTGCAAATTTGAGCTCCCAGCAGCATCAGTGCCCCTCTTACCACGATCTTGCCAACGCTGAGTATTACGGAATAGGGTTGTTTGTTTCTTAACAGGGCAGGAGGTGGGCTGGGGAACTAATTTTTATCATTTTTGATGTCTAAAACATCAGCTTCTAACCATATCATTTTGGAAATTTGGCCCAGGACAGATCTGCCAATTAAGTTATTTTTATGTTTCCAAGACCTTAAGTGTTACTGTCAGCTTGTCTAATGCAGGCTTTGTGAATACTCTCTAGGAAACTGTTCATGGCTATTTTAAACATTACTCAGAAATTCTTTACAATCCTCAGTCACACCTTTCGAATGTATTGAATGTCCTAGGTTTTTTTAACTTTCATTGGCGTGGCTACCAAAGTAACTCATGCAGTTTTGGGAAGCCCCCCCTCCCCCCTTGCGTTGGTCCCAAGGCCCAGGATGTGAGTGCTTCCGGGAGGCACAGACGAAAGCCTTGGCATGGTTTTCCTTAAGACCTACAATCTTAACTGACCCTTAACTGTTACAGCCTTAAAACTGGTTTTCTCCTATTGTACGTGCACTATATTACCTCTATCCCAGATGGGTCTGTAGTACTTTGTGCTTTAATTTTTTAAGGGTCAATCATGTAAATTATGATAGCCACCTTTTATAGGTGGCTTAATTGTAACTTTGCTTAATTAAATTTTATTAAAAACTGAATTTTAAGGGAGGTGTCATACTTAGAAAACAGCACAGTGCCTCACACAATGGTGAGCACTCAATAATTTTTAGTTGTCGTAATTGTTAGAATTCCCACAAGCAGAGACACTTATGGGGACATAGAGGCTGAAGGAGCCCTCCCTGCGGAGGGACTGGAGCATACTGAAGTCCTGAGCGGCTGAAGAGCTTGTGGCTCTGATGGGCCTCAGACAAGCTAGTGAGGGAAGGTCAGCCTCAGGTAGGAGCTTTGGAAACTAGTTTGGGCTTCATCTAAGAGTCATTGGAACCCATAAAGGGCTTTAAGCCTAGGACCAATTAGATTTGCATTGTTTAAAAAAACTATTCCAGCTGCCTCATGCAGAGAGAATAAGGGGAGGCTCCTTTTAAGGTAATTTGGTGATAGAGTAGGTAACCAGCCTTGGACATGTTCCTTAAGCTCTGTGTGTCTCGGTTTGCTCACCTGTAACACAGATTCAATAATAGTACCTACCTTATAGGCTGTGGGGATTCAATGAGTTGCTATTTGTAAAGTGCTTTGAACAGCTTCCTGAATATAAGTGCTTTAAGTGTTTTTTAGCTAGAATGCCAAAAGTCTGGTGGCAGAAGGTTAATCACTTCCAGTTCTGACCCCCCTCCATCTGGCATCAGAATGACCCACACTGCCCAACTGAGCCCTTGGCTGCCTAGTTTTCACATCAAGCTCAGCCTCCTCCCTCCCCTGCCTGGTCTGGTGTGGGCACCTACACGTGGATGTGGCAGATGGCTGGCCAGGCCTGGCTGGTCTTTCCTTTCTAGAACACCTGCATTGCCCACACACAGGGTCAGGCCCAGTCACTGCCGTGCTTCCTGCTGGGGGAAGGAGGCAAAGCCTCCTGTAAGCACCGCCCTCACGGGATGGCCCCCTGGCTGTCCTTGATCTCTCCGGGCTTTTCTAATTTGAAAACAGTAGACGGGAATCTCATTTAGGGGCAGCAGTTTCAACCTGTATTACTTAGTAATGTTGCCTGGAGTTCTGTTTTGAGGATACTGAGGCAGTTCTGAGCATACGAAGGGTCAGGAGCTACACGGAAGGGTGCTACCAGGTCTGGAGTGGAACCCTCCTCGGGGGGAGACTCCTCAGAATTGGGGGAAAAGGGGGAGATGGCACAAAAAGCCTCCTGGGTGTTTCTCATGTGTTATTAAGTTTGACGGTGGGCGAAATTTTTCATTTTATTTTATATCCTTTTGAATATGTGAAATAGTTTATGTTGAAATTGAAATGAGTGCCCAGGCAGATTAGTGATGTTTGCCCTGGGCATTGCTGGTGTGTGTGGTCCAGGTCTCGTGGGGCCTGTCCTTGACTAGGATGATACAGCCACCTCCCTAGATGCGACCGTTTGTCTGCATATTTGTGTGTGAACTCACACGTTTATATGCACATGCACAAATTCGTTTTATCTTGCAATATATACTCACAAAATGCAGTATAGGACTTTAAAAAAAATGTAAAATGACTGTGAACATACTGAAAACCACTGGAAAGTACACTTTAAAATGGGAGAATTTTATGGTGTGAGTTATATCTCAATAAAGCTGTTAAAAAATAAAATATTTCCAAATGCAACACTTTTTCAAAAAGTTCAAAATATTTTTTCTTGATTATAAAAGAAATACATACAGATATAGGAAACTGGAAAATGTATTAAAGTAGAAAGAAGAAAAAAATATATGTACCATAATAGCACCACCTTAGAGACTGTTAACGTTTGGTGATACTTTCATTAGTTTTTCATTCTCATGTATGGCTTATTTGTATATTGATGTGATCGTTTCTATGTATTAAAGTTTACATCTTCCTTTCTTCATCTAACAGGATAATATAACCATTTAAAATGCTATTATAAGTTTTTCATAAACAGTTAAAGGCTTACATTGAGCCACTGTGTGGACACTGTGAATTAGTCATTCCCTGCGGCTCTACGTGCTCATCAGAAAGAGCACTGAAATGAGCATCTTCGAGCATAATCCCTGTTGTTTTATTTGGATTTATTTCCTTAAATGTAAGCCAGATATATTAAAAGTTTTGAGTGCTTTTAAAACCTTATATACATTCTCAAGTTGCTTTCTATAAGGCAGGCCTGTGTCACTCTATGAGGCACCTTTGTTCAGGTACCAGCCTCTGGGCACACAGGGCCCTGGCCCTTCGAGCTTGAGGGTGCGCTGTAGCTGGGTCCCGCCCGCGCATACTCTGGGTGCCTGAGCATGGCTCGCAGCACCGCCGATGTGTGGCGCTCACAGAGTACCTGTTCCAGAGAGCCCAGAGCAGTGTCAGTTAGGTATTCATGTCCATAAAAACCTTTAATTTATTAAGTGAAAAATTTTGATGTTTAAATTTACCTGTTTTGATTCTGAGGGTGCACATTTATTCAAGTGTTTCTTGAGCACCTGTATTTTCTCTTACAAGTTACTGTTCATATACATTTTATGCTCGGTGTTTGTCCTTTGGTATTTTGCTCATTAATTTGATTACATATGATCTGTATTATTTGTAGTCAATATTCTTCCTAGTTTGTACTTACATTTTATGAAAAACAAAAGGTTTTGCTTTTATTTAGAACAATCAGTTATTTGGTTCCTTGATTTTCAGTTTACAAAGTTCCCGATTTGAAAAGCACGGATATTTTCTTCTTGTTTATTACTTCATTTCATTTTTACATTGATCTCTTGAATTTACGTTAAATTCAAGTATATTTTGATGAGTAACAAAAGGTAGGAATCTAATTTTTTTAAAATAGTTTTCCCTGCACTATTTTTCACATAATCTTTCCTTTCCCTAGTGATTACTGTGTTTCTTGTCATTTGATTTTCATCTATTCTGATAAAAATATTTTGCTAATTTTAAAACCAATCAAGATTACATTCTTAATATGGTTAAAGCACTGTTTGTTCATTATATATTTTTGTTTCACTGTTAACATGTGTTTAAATTGACTTACTTGGAATGTAATAATTTCAGTACTAACCTATTTCTTCCTTACCTTGAATCAAAGTGAATATTTGGATATTTGGACACATTAAGATGACTCGTTTCATGGAGACCATCTCATCTACAAATGACCCAGACTCCAGGCATTAAATATAAGAGGCACTTGCATTCACTTTTAAGAACTTTATTCTCTTTCTGTTTATGTTTTCAGGTGTTGTTATCTCATATACTTTCAGCATTCAGATTTGATATGAAAGAAGTTGGTCTTTTTACTCAAAGTCTTGGGTATGCACCTGCAGATTACTATCCTAGTTTGCTCAAAAATGTGAGTATTTTTAATTTATTAGTACTGAAATTTTCATTGGTTAATATATCATCAGCAAAAAGAATAAATGGAAGTATTTCACTTCTCCAGAAGAGATGTTTAACTTTTCTGTGTTTATCTCTTCTTAGTTGGGTGGACTTATGGCCATATAAGGAAGAAATGTGAGATGGGAGCTTATGGGAAAGAAGGAAACCAGGAGAGGTTATTCTAAGTCAACCAGCTTCTCTGTCTCTTAACACATTTCATTTATTTTCTCAAAGATCTTTAGGAGAAGAAATTTCCTTAACCAATGTAAACACAGCCTCTTATTGTTAGACAAATTTTGTATTTAAAATAACTTGATAGGAATTTTTGTGTTAAAGCAAAGAATTTAATAACAACCTTGTGAATAAAAATACTATTATATATTTACACCTTAGTATTAAAGCCTTAAATTTTAGCTAAATTGAAGAAATTTTAATTTTGATCTTAACATAGCTCTTCTAGAAACTGTTAGGAGATTTTATTTTATGTTTATTAACTAATCTTTTGGATGCTTTATACATTAATAACATGTTTAAAAATAAGTGAAATTAAGAAAGAAATTAAGAAAGAAAAAATAAAGTAACTCTAACATGGTTTTATTTTTAATGGGATTGGTTTTAATTCTTAGGAAATTGATAATCTGTCTATTGTTCATTTGCTTAAATAGGAATTCAGAATAACACACAGTAAACATAAAATCCAAATTATTAGTAAATGTAAGTTGGCACTGCTGCTTTTCACTTTAACAAAGCACAAGGAGAGGGCTGGTGGAGGGGGAGGGAATCTCAGTGGAAATACCACTCACACCAAGAAAATAGAACTGATGTCATCCTGTTTGCAGTGTGAGTTAACCTGCAACTGATTTTGTTTTACAGATGGTTTTATCATTAGTGTCTGAACTCAGAGAGAATCATCTTAATGGATTTAACACTCAAAGGCGGTAGGTGTCGAACTAAACATCCCTCTTCTCAAGTTTCAAAATGTATCAGTTTGGTTATGAGAGAAAAAGTTTATAATTCATAGGAAATGCGTATTCATAGTTATGGTTATAGCCTATGTAGAAAGATTATTTTAGTGGAATGCATGGAAAATTGGTGAATTTTATCAAACTTTTTTGTAATCACTATTCTCTCTACTCTTGTAAGGCAATAAATCATGCAATGTGCCTTATTACCTTATGCTCCCATTGAGTAAAAAGCCCTATACATACAGTAGGGAACATGGAAAAAACGTTCAGCTCCGTGTGTGTGTCACTTACACACATACACACAATCAGGATGTTTACAAGGCTGCAGATACTTGATGTATGCATATGACCTATATAACCTATTTTAAGAAACAATATTCCAAAATTTAGACTAAACAAGTCAAATAAAGTCAAACAAATTAAAAAGCAATTAATCACATCATAAAATGTTTCTTCACTATGAGAAAGAATTCAAAGTTGTTTTCATTGGTGAGCATTTCATTTTTAACAAGTCATTAACTAAGAGAATCTAGGCACGTTGTGATTTTTTTTTGGTAAAGCTATTGCCATTGAAAGCTTTATCAAAAGTGGTGTTTGCTCTCAGACTTTAGAAATCCTTTGAATCTAACCCTTAAAGTAAACTATAAAATTCTTAGATGAAAACATGAGAAAATCTTCCTTATATTGAATTTGGCAGTGATTTTTTGGATATAACATCAAAAGCACAATAAAAAAAAGCTAGATAAATTGGACATCATTCAAATTAACTTTTATGAATCGCAGGATACTATTAAGAAGGCAAAAAGACAACCTACTGAATGAGTAGGTTGGAAATCATATGCCTGATAAGGTATTAATATCCAGAATATATAAAGAGCTCCTAAAACTCAATAACAAAAAATTAAATTTAAAAATGGCCAAGAGACTTGACTAGACATTTCTCCAAAGAATATGTACAGCTGGCTGATAAGCACATGAAAAGATGCTCAACATCACTAGTTATTAGGGAAATGCCAGTCAAAATCACAGTGGGATACCACATCACACCTGCTAGGATAGCTGTCATTTAAAAAACAGAAATGAAAACTAACAAATTTTGGTGAAAATGTGGAGCAGGCAGAACTCTTGTGCATTGCTGGTGGGAATAGAAAAAGGTACAGCCACTGTGGAAAACAGTGTGGCAGTTCTTCAAGTTAAGTACAGAATGACATTAAGACCCAGCAATTCTACTTCTAGGTACTTTGAAAACATCATGCTTAGTGAAATAAGCCAGACACAGAAGGACAAATACTATATGATTCCACTTATATGAGATACCTAGAATAGGCAAATTCATAGAGACAGAAGGCAGACTAGAGGTTATCAGTGTCTGGAGGGAGTGGAGTAATTGTTTAACAGGTACATCGTTTATGTTGTGGATGAGGAAAAACTTTGGGTGTAGATTGTGGTGATGGGTTCACAGCCTGTGAATGTATTTAATGCCACTGAATGGTTACCAATTATAAGTGGTTAAAATAATAACTACTACATATGTTTTACTGCAGTAAAAGAAATTAAACTTAAAGAAAAAACAAATGTGATACCACTATAACTCCCTCAAATAACTAAAATTTAAGACACATTAGCATGTGCTGGAGAGGATATGGAATTACTGGATCTTTCATAAACTGTTTGTGAGAATGTGAAATAATATAACCATTTTTGTAAACAGTTTTGCAGTTTAATATAAAGTTAAATGTAAACTTACCATATGACCCACCAATTCCATTCTTGAGTATTTTCTCATAACAAATGAAAACAGGTATTCACAAATACTTCTGTATAAATATTCACAGCTGCTTTACTTGTAATAGTTCAAAACCAGAAGCAATTCAAAGGACCATCAACAAGCGAAGGGGTAAACAAACAAAAAATTATCTGTTACCACCATTTAAAAAATGAAAAGACTAGTTATACCCTGAGAAAATATTATTAAATTGTACATCTGATAAAGGGCTCAAACCTGTAATATATAAAGAACTCCGTAAATAAGACAAATAACCCAGTTTAATAATTGGCAAAAGATTGGAATACCTGTCACCAAAAAAAGTGTACAAATGGCTTATTTGAAAAACACTAATACTTGTATATAAATGTTTATGGCATTAAACATTATTAAACATTATTCATAACAGACAAAAAGTGGAAGCAACCAAAATATCCACCAACTTACGAATAGATAAAGTATGGTATGTCCACACAATAGAATATTATTCCTAAGAAAATGGAACAGCTACTGACTCATGCTACAGCTTGTGTGAACCTCAAAAACATGCTTAGTGAAAGAGCCAGTCACAAAAGAATACACTTTGTATGATTCCTTTTTTTATAAAATGTCCAGAATAGGCAAATCTATATATATATATTAGTTGTTTCCTGGGGCTAGAGGTAGGAACAGGGAGTTCCTACAAATTTAACACAAAAGATCTTGAGGTGATGGAAATGTTCTAAAAGTAGATGATGATGATAGTTGTCCAACTCAATGTTTTATTAAAAATTTGGGGATTATACATTTCAAGTATGTGCATTTTGTGGTATATAAAGTATACCTAAAAATAATAAGATGCATTCCTAGGGTGCATTGAAAGCATTTCCAATCATTTATTTACACATCAGGTAAGGACTTTGATTTAGCCTGTGGTGAATGTTGAATAATGGGTCTTTTGAGTAGTAAAATTAAAAATTTATTAAAAGGAACTTTAAAAAAATCAGTAGGAGACAATTTGTATGTATGCCCTATACCAAATCCCAAAATATATCAAGTTGATGATTATTTATTTATTTTATTATCCTCACCTAAGAACATGTTTTATTGATTATACAGAGAGAGGAAGGGGCGGGGGCGAGGGGAGAAACATCTATGTGAGAAACATTGATCAGTTGCCTCCTGCACGCACCCCAACTAGGGATCAAACCTGCAACCTTTTCGTGCATGGGACAGCTCTCCAACCAACTGAGCCACCCAGCCAGGGCAAGTTGATGATTTTTTAAACACACACACACTCACACTCACACTTAACAAATGGAAGAGACCAGCCACAGACTTGAAAGATATCTGCAACCTATAAAACAGACAAATACAGAAATGCCTCCTGCAAATCAATCATAAAGAGGCAAACACTCCAGTATGGAAATGAACAAGAAATATAAGCAGGTTATTGCAAATGAGGAAAACTGCATAAAAATAAACATGTAAAAAATTCTTCAGGGGTGACGTCAGCAGGATAGCAGAATAGGAAGCACCAGTCCTTGTTCCTCCTCAGAGACACTGACTTAACAATAGTATTGGGCCAAAGGGCCTTTATGAGAACTCCAGAAACCAATTAGAAGTCACAATATCCCAGGCAAGCTCAAAGTTAAGAATAGCTATATTGAAACAGGAAAGAAATCCATTTCACATCAACCACAACAGCCCTTTCCCTAAACCAGCCCAGCCTGGTGGGATTGGGAGGAAAAATCCAGTTTATAGCTTCTCCCTTGGAAGGGAAAGAGAAGAGTGGAATGTGCCCAATGTTCTGGCTTTTGTGGGGCTGCCTGAGGCACTGGTATTTGTCTTGCCTGACTCTGATCACTCACAGGGCACTGCCATACTTTCAATACCGGGGGCCATCGAGAGTTAGAGCTCAGCTGCTTTTTGCAGCACCGGAGAACTGGGAGTACTACAGACAGGAGGTTGGGTCAGGTCGGTGTGAATAGGGGAAAGCACCCAACTCTGGTAAAGATAAATATATAAACAAGTGCAAATTCCTATAATACTGCAATATTGGTCCATAAATTACTTTTAATTCTGGAATAAAATTTAAATGATAAAAGTATAAAAAATAACCATAACTGTAAAACTATGTTAATGGATACAAAATATAAAGACTTATAACTTATGACATCAGTAACATAAAGTGTGTGGAGGAGATATAAAGGAATAAAATTTTTTGTATGCAACTTAAGTTGTTATCAGTTTAAAACAGATTGTTATAACCATGAGATGTCTTATCTAATCCCATGGTAACAAAAAAAAACCAAAAACTATAGAAGTTGCACAAAGGAAAATGAAAAGAATCAAAGTATATCACTATTTTAAAAAATCAGTGAAACATGAAGGAAGTCAGCAAGAAAGAAAAAGAGGGTCAGAGTAACTACCAGACGTACAGAAAACAAGGAAATGGCAATAGTAAGGCCTTCTCTATCAGTAATTACTTTAAGGTAAATGGATTAAACTCCCTGATCAAAAGCCATAGCATAACTGAATGGATTAAATAAAAACAAGGCCCAACTCTCTGCTGTCTACAGACTCATTTTAGATGTCAGGATATACATAAGCTGAAAGAGAAAGAATGAAAAAATATATTCCATGCAAATGGTAAGCACAAGAGAGCATGCTTATATTAGACAAAATAGAGTTTATATAAAAAAATATTGCAAGAGACAAAGAAGAACATTATATAAAAACAAAAGATCAGCTTACCAGGAAGATATAACATATATAAATATATATGCACCTAACAGCAGAATACCAGAATATATGAAGCAAACATCGATAGCTTTGAAGGGAAAAATAAAAAGTAACACAATAATCATAGGAGATTTCAATACCCACTTTAACATACGAATCCACCAGACCAAAGATGAATAAGAATACTGAGGACTTAAAAAACATTATAGATCATTTAGACCTTGTAAATGTATATAGAACACTCTCCCCAGTAATAGCAAAATCCACATTCCTCTCAAGCACATACACAGACGTTCTAGATCCCATGTTAGGCCACAAAATAAGTCCTAATGAATTTAAGTTGAAATCATACCAAGTATCTTTTCCAACCATGATAGTATGAAACTAAAAATCACTAATAGGAGAAAAATGGGAAAATTCACTTATACGTGTAAACTAAACAACACATTGCTAAGCAATCAGTGGGTCAAAGAAGAAATCACAA